TGACATTTCGAAGGAATCTGGTTCTCCAGATCTTAACACCACAGGTATGCCATACCTTCCACACTGATTCATAGGGCCAGTACTCTTTCCAACCAGGACAGACTTCACAACGAGCTGGAGTTTCTGAGGGACACTTAGGCAGAAGAGTTTCAGTGAACAGTAGATTGGCAGAGCTCTCAGTCGTCCCATGACAGTTGCTCTGCCCAATAAGAAGTCAGATTCTGTCACTTTCCTGTCTTATGTTGGGTCAACCTTCAGCTGCATTAGCAGGGCGTTGTCCTGATATATCACCTAGTTGCTTGGTCTTCCAACAACAGAAATCTCTAGTTTCCTCTGGCTTGTCAAGACGAACTGGGACTGAGGACACTGGGAATATGCAGTATCCCTTCTCAATGCAGTCAGGTCTACATTGGACATAGGCCATTCAACTGACACCAGGTTGATGAAATACCATCAGCACACCAAGGCTAGAACATCTGGATAAGCTAGCCATGGCATAGCATGGCATCAGCTTGGTATACCACATCCAGGTCCAACAATCCTCTCCACCACATCCAGTTATATGGACTGTATCATAAGGGAGGAGACTGCAATTGAGTTCCAGCCAAAATATATGAACAGGGATGATGACTTATGCATAAGGATGTCATGAAAACCTCTCATTTGCTCCATTAGAGACCATAGGAAGCTTCTTCAATTGGTTGTCTAGATGGGTTCTCCACAGGGCCACAAAGGACCGTACGCACTCTATGTGCCCTTATATATTATTATATATATATTTATTATTTACTGCAATTGGGCTTATGCCGGTGGCAGTGTTTACAAAAGCGGACATACATTCAACAAAGATACATCACATACGTCTCAAGAAAAAACATACGTCTCAAGAAATAATTTTCACAGTACAGTCCAAGTACAATGACCTAATACAAGTACACTTCGCTTCTCTTCACTTCACTTGCTCTACTGATTTTGCTTTCCTAACCTCCTTTCTAAATATATGCCCTTTAACAGGGTGAGTCCCAATCACCTCTTCAGGTAACTGGTTCCAGTCAGCAATGGTCCTGTTCACAAAGGAAAACTTCCTGACATCTGTTCTTATTTTTCTGGCTCTTATTTTCCTAAGGTGATCGACTCTACTCACGTAGTATGGCGCCTGCAATCTGTCCCTTATACCTTTCCACGCCCTATCACCGTTATATGCTTTATAAAGTGCGCATATCCATGCTATCATCCTACGCTGCGCCAAAGATTCCCAGACCGAGCCATCTGTATAATGGGCAAATTTAGCAGCTTTATTTTGAACATGGTCTAAAGCAGTGATCTGACATTCCTTGTATGGATCCCAGCACGCCGCCCCATATTCGAGAATGGGACGTACTAGCGACGTGTAGGCTAAACTTTTGGTATTTTTATTACCCCTTTTTACAATACGCATTACGAAATGTAGTGCCCTCCAGGCTTTTCGGACCGTGTAATTT